CCATCCATCCATCCATCCATCCATCCATCCATCCATCCATCCATCCACTTTATTCCAGAGTTGGGTCGCAGGGGCAGCAACTTCAGCAGGGAGGCCCAGACATCTCTTTCCACAGCCTCCTTTTCCAGCTCTTGTGGGAGGACCACAAGGTGTTCCCAGGCCAACTGAGAGATTTGGCCTCTTCAGCGTGTCCTGGGTCTTCCCCAGGGTCTCCTCCAGTCCGACATGCCCGAAGCACCTCCCTAGGGAGGCGCCCAGGAAGCATCCTTACCAGATGCCTGAACCACCTCGAGGTCGGGGATGGGGGGGTCTGTGGGTCCTCCCACAGAAAATTTTGAATAACAGAGATGCCATTTCCTGCATTCTGATGTATGTTAACGGGTTGTTCAACCCGTTAACATCTACATTGACCTACATTTTTGATTAAATTACTACTGTGGAGAGCAACAGAGGTTGTGTGTGAATAGAGCAGCTCCTATTCTGTCAGGTATCCTAAGCCCCCTCCTCCCTCCTTAGGTGATGGGGGGTTGTTATAGCAACGCGTTAACATCTACATTGACCTACATTTTTGATTAAATTACTACTGTCTGTCCCTCCGTCCTCACTCCCACCACCCTGCCTCCTCCTGAGGCTCCTCTCCTGCTCCTTGGAAGTAGCGTGTGAGTGAGCTGGTGCGCCGCGTGTGATGCGGCTGGAACATCCACTCCACAGACCGGGTCCACCGGGCTAAGGACAACGTTTCCTCTTGTTGTATTTTTTAACAAATAATCAAAATAAAAATGTGCGATGACTTTGAACTCTTAGGGGCGGAGATTTGAGTTGCCGGATCTGAGCAAACAGTTGCCGGAACACAGCCTGTCAAAATACAGGATCTTGTTTCTGCAGGATCCAGCTCAAATTAACCCCTGGGAGCAGCAGTTCTACTCCAAGTCTCTCCCAGATATCTGAACTTCTCACCCTATCTCTAAGGGAGAGTCCAGCTACCCTGCAGAGGAAACTCATTTCAACTGCCTCGTTCTTTCGGTCACTACCCAGAGTTCGTGGCCATAGATGAGGGTAAGAACGTAGACTGACCGGTAAACAGAGACCCTGACTTACCAAAGCTAGCTGTTAGGTTCTGACAGTGAGGAAAAACAATGAGCCTAAATATGCTGAAAAAGGGCGTTTGGTGAGCGAGAACAGGTGAGAGGAAAGCTAACGATCAAGAGGTGGACTGGATTAGTAATCAGGGGAGCAGAGGAAAGAACAGGGAAACAAAACAGGTGATAGAAAACAAACATCGGCAAACAAAAGACAATCTGTCAGGAATGAGCAGATGTTAAATATACTCTGAATATTACCGTAAAAATACACAGATCCACATTGTGATGAAAAAAACATGACAGACCAAAGCAAAAAGAACAAAATAAAACAAAATATAAAACTGAAAACAAAGTGAACAACTAGAGACTAAGAAGTTAAAACAGGAAAGCGTGTATATCAAATATCATGACAAGAGTGTGGCATGGAGGCTGCACAGCTGCAGAAAGAAAAGCTTTGCAGAGAGTGGTGAAGGCTGCACAGAAGACTGTCGGAGTCAGTCTCCCCACCATCACAGACATCTACACCTGTAGATGCAGGAAGAGGGCTACCTGCATCATGAAGGACCTCACTCACCCAGCACACACACTTTTTGCCCCACTGCCCTCAGGAAGGAGGTTGAGGAGCATTAAGTGTAGAACCACTAGACTGAGGAACAGCTTCTACCCTGAGGCTGTTAGACTCATGAATCTCTAACTAGAATAATCACTGTGAAAAACCACATCATGTTGCTGCTGATCTGTTTCATGTTGCTGCTGATCTGTTTCAATGTTGATGTGTTCATGCGTGCTCATCTGCTCACACAGACTCATGTTCATGTTTGTGCTGATGTTCAATGTTTTTATGTTATGAGTGCTTAGTGTATATTTAGTTGATGTTTTTCTTAGTTCATATCTTAGATGTTATTACTGTTTTTTTTATACATTTTATTGTTGGATGTAACTGGGACCCCGTGTACATAATTTCGCTCCACCACATGTACCACATGAGGTGCGAATGACAATAAAGAAACTCTGACTCTCTGACTCTGAGAGCACAAACAAACTTCATACAGAAAAGTTTAGAGCTCAGGAGTTTTTATTTTATTTTATTTCAAGGCAGCTGCACTGTTCAATTTGACCCATGCAGCCCCATAATTCAGGCTGTACAGGAAGTGCTACAGCTAAATGCCACAGCTGCTGTTAGTGCCTGCAAATAACAATAAAGTTATATGATAATAAGGTGAAACTGATGGCAAAGGTTTATTTTTTATTTGAGTTGTTCTTTGCTTTACAGAGCCTGTCTCTCATCAATATGGTCAGAAATAAACTCTTTCTCCAAACTGAGGTCAAATAAAGGTTTTTCTGCAACTGGTAAGATATTTATTGTTCGTAACCTTTTCACTAAAACCCTGTCTTAAATGAAAAACAAATTTCCATTGATTTTTTTGTTGATTTTATTTTTTTAGCACAGATCTTTTCACTTCTTCTCCAATTAAAAACAAATGGTAACTTATTTTGCAATTTTTTTTCTGCACAAAGTTTATAAGTGTTGTAGATCTAAAAGTTTATTAGATGTAAAAATGTGCAACATGTAAACATTTCAATGAACGTTGAATCCTTGTGTTTCAGGATTAAACAAGTTTGTGTCTGTGTGTAGAATGTTAGAATCCTTGTTCTATATTTATGCTGACAAAGTAAATAAATAAAAATAAACAGGCTGTAATATTTCCTGTCATACAAAATATTTGTTCCCAGCTAATCATTCAGAAGTTTCTCTTTTCACCAACTTGTCAGATTCACTTGATGGGGAAAAAAATCTCATCCACGAGCCCTTACAGTGCTCCCAAGCTGCAAATACACCAAACAGATGTTCACTTCTCCTGCATGGGGGTTACTTGGGGGCAGAATTGCAATTAAACCCATCAGACATTATGGGGTTCAGTTTCACGCTCATGTGAGGCTAATTACAGGACATTTTACTTATTGTTAGAAAACACGAGGCTGCGGCCTCCGAACAATTTGTGGCTGGTTGCATCCACAAAACAGCTGTTTTAAACTCTGTTCAGTTTAACCTGCATGGTTTTGATGATGGCTAGATTTAGGAATTATTTCATGCTTGAAATCATGAAACAAAAGTTCCTACATTGTTGTAAAAGACTTCAAGCTAAAATCCTGGCTTGTTTTCAGAAATTTAATCCTGAAAATCTCTGAAAGTTCTGGTAGCTGATTTAGTTTATAACAATTGTTGTGTGGTTTTTATGAGCAATTATCATCTAACCTGTTGTAGATATCTTTTACAATTTCAGTTTAGAGAAACAGGCAGCATGGTGGCACAGTCGGTAGAGCTGCTGCCCCTCAGTGAGAAGGTCTCCGGTTCAAATCCCAGTCCGGGTGCTTTTTGCATGTTCTCTCTGTGCATGTGTGGATTTTCTCCAGGTACTCCAGTTTCCTCCCACAGACTAAAAACATGCATGTTAGGCTGATTGGTAACACTAAATTCTCTCTAGGTGTGAGTGAGAAAGTGAATGGTTGTTTGCCTCTACGTGTCCCTGTGATGGACTGAGACCTGTCCGGGGTGTCCCTCGCTTCTCGCACAGTAACTGCTGAATATGGGCGCCAGTGACCCCCCGACCCGAAAAGGAAGAAGTGGGTAAAGGTAATGGATGGAAGGAGTTTGGAGAAATTTAGTTTAAATCAG